CACATGAAAAATCTGATGTGGTAACACGTTAAAAGTCACATTTGATGCAGATATCTCCGTGTGTGCCCGTTTCTGTTCTCAGATCTTTTTTTAAATCCTCCTCCTCCGCTGCAGATGTCATCTCGTTCCTTCCAGGCAGGTCATTGTTCTGAGGGCTGGAGATAATGTCAGGGAGGTCCCCAGGATGTTGAAGGTGCACTCCAACCATAAAGGGAGACTACAGACCTGGTGGTGATCTTCATCCTGACTGATCCGATCAGAGATAAATTTAGATGTGAACAGAACAAACGGACATTATTTATGTTCTTCTCAACATGTCCTGGATTACAGCTAAATGAATAAGATCTGCAAACCCAATCTGAGTCCAAACAATCAGCAGACGACCACATCGTGGAAAGAAGACAGAAAAAGAGGAGACATCAAACCTCCAGATGGATCATTTTACAACTTATTACAGTAAAACGTGTGGTTGCAGCTATTTTTTCATTTTTCTCTTAAGATTTGTGTCACATTTTACTAAATGTAATAAATAAATTAAATAAATTAATAAATGTGGCTGAGTGGTTAGAGCAGCCAATGGGAAAGTTGAGGGTTCAGTTCCACCAGCAGCCACATGCTGAAGTGTCCCTGGGCAAGACACTGAACCCAGTGTATATATATATATATATATATATATAGACCAAAGTTTTTACAGAGAACATCTTGAAAAATATGAAGAACAAAGTACAGATTTCCATTTATTAATGACACTTCTGCATTCATCTTATTTGGAGGAACTAGAACCACAAACACTGTTGTCTGCCATTGTAAAATAATATTCCCTGACGCTCCTTCCCAATGCGTAAAATGCGTCAAAAGTGGACCAATAACAAGCAAGCATTCAAGATGGACATTTTCCAGAACAAATTGGAACATTTTTCATCGGTGCTGTCAAAATCATCATAGTCATTGATTAAATTCTGACACTGTCCATTCACAAAAACGTAAAACATCCTTCGGGGCCCCTGAAATGCCGGGGCCCCGGGCTGCAGCCCCTGTAAGCCCCTGCTAAAATCCGGCCCAGGACATGCCTGAACCTCCTCAACTGGTTCCTCTGGATGTGGAGGAGCAGTGGTTCTACTCTGAGTCTCTCCTGATAACTGAACTTCTCCCCCTGTCTCTAAGGGAGAGTCCAGCTCTGCAGAGGAAACTCATTTCAACCTCCTGGATCCACGATCTCATTCTTTCAGTCTCTACCAGAGTTCATGACCAGAGGTGAGGGGAGGAACGTAGACCGACCAGTAAACAGAGAGCTTTGTCTTACAGCTCGGCTCCCTCTTCACCATAACGGACCGGAACAGAGTCTGCAATACTGCAGATGCTGCACCAATCCATCTGTCAATCTCACGCTCCATTCTTCCCTCACTTGTGAACAAAACCCTGAGATACTTGAACTCCTCCACTTGAGGCAGAACCTCACCCTCAACCTGAAGAGAGCAATCCACCCTTGTCTGACTGAGGACCATGGCCTCAGATCTGAAGGTCCTGATTCTCGTCCCAGCTGCTTCACACTCAGCTGTGGACCACTCCAGTGAGAGTTGAAGATCACGACATGATGACGCCAACAGGACCACATCATCTGCAAAGAGCAGAGATGGGATCCTGAGGCCACCGAACCGGAATACCCCCCACCCCCTGGCTAATTTTTTGAGAAGGACCTGTATATCTGGACCTGGACCTTCATCTGGACCTGGATCTATACCTGGACCTACCATTCTGTGTTCGTCTGTCTCTCCTTCCTGTCCTCTCAACCAGCCGGTCAAAGCAGATGGTCTCTTGTCCTGAGCTGGTTCTGCTGGAGGTTTCTTCCTGTTAAAGGGAGTTTTTCTTCCCACTGTCTCCACTGTGCTTGCTCAGGATGGGAGACTGCAACGAAGCCAAGATTCAACTTGTCTGCTGGATTCCTTAGATAGAGAACTTTACTAACTGTCTTTTATGTGAATGTTCCTGTAAAGTCCTTGAGACAACTTTGTTGTGATGTGGTGATTTATAAATAAACTGAAGTGAATATAGCGCTCAAGCTCTACAAAGATCATTTGAATCTGTAAAGACTAATCAGAGCTTTAAATTACTTTCATACACTGATGGGACACATCAGAGATGATGAGGGGGTCCATGTCTTACCCTGGGTCACTTCAACACGTGTAACTTCGAGCAGGATGGAGCTCATAGGGAAATCTATGTCATTTACCCAGAATGCATTACAGTGTAAACAACATGGAGATGTTCGTGTGACAATAATGTTAAAAACTGTATGAAACCTAAGCAGCCGACAGCGTTTTGTGTTTTCACAGCTGAAGTGGATCAGATAAGGTCTGTTGTCCCAACCAGTCAGAGATCAGTTTGAAGGTGCACGTTATTTTTACATAATCCAGTCTTATTGGACCTCTCAGTGATTCTTCTTCATGAAAACACTCAGGTTTGATCTTTTTTAAAGGTATTGTTTCTCAGGATTACATGTTCCTGTGATCACGTCTGACTGTGGATCAGTTTTTACTTCCAGTTTTTTACCAGGAGTCTTGAGTCGGAGTCCTGGGCTGAGATTTACCTGCTAAATCTGTTTTAGTGACATCATCAGGTAAATCTTCGGTAATCACCTGTAAACAGCCACACATCCGCCCGTCTGAGCGGCGCAGCTTCAGCCCTAATGAGTTTTCATCAGGACCACATGAAGTAAAACCACACACACCTTCAAACGCAGCTCCACCTGCCTCAGGTCTCCAGGTGTGTTTTAATCTCTGTGGTCTCTGCGGTGTCACGTTTCAAACGTCCCACCTCACCTCAGGCTGCAGGGCTTCCAGGAAGGAAGAGAAGGCGGTTCTGGTTCTGATGCGGTCGAGCTTCAAACACAGCCAGAGAACTTCTGAGGCCCAGACGGCAGAGCCAGGACGGATCAGAGGGGAGGGAGGGTTATAAAAACCAGACGTACCTGAAGGCAGCACCAGGTAGCTCTGAGCACCTGAGATCGTTCGGACTGAGAGATTTCAACATCAGATTTAAATTTACGAATCAAACCTGAGCAGAAGATCCTTCAGAGCTGCAGAGGACGGTGGATCAGGACTGGATTAGTTGAAGGATGTGGATGTACCGCAGCTTCCTGTGCGTGTCTCTGGTCTGTGGTCTGACTCTGGACTCAAACACCATCAGATCCTCCAAAGAGGCCATGCTGCAGAGCTCCGAGCTGCAGGTAAGAACAGAACCTTCTCCTCAGCCACAGCAGCAGAACATCTGTCCACTGTCTTCACTCGCTTCTTTCCTGTTGCTGGTGTCCATGTCCAGCAATCACTGTGAGAGGCGGGGGACATCTGGACAGGTCTCCAGTCCATCGAAGGGACACCTAGGGACAATTTAGAGTTACCAGTCAGCCTAACATGCATGATTTTGGTCTGTGGGAGGAAACTGGAGAAAACCCACGCATGCACGGAGAGAACATGCAAACTCCACCCAGAAAGACCCCCGGACCGGGATTTGAACCAGGGACCTGCTCGCTGAGGCGGCAGCTCTACCAACTGCGCTGCACAGACAGAATATAGTTTTTTTAATTAAAAAAAGACTTGAAAAAATGGATTCTGTTAGAAGTGATTAAATCAGCTGTGTCAAAACTCAAAATTATTTGAACAAACAGTTTATTCTGTGGTTGAGAAACTTCTTCTGCAAACTTTTCTGTTGGTTTGGTCGATTTGAAATTATGGCCTGAAGGAACTCCTTTGTGAGAAATAGTGATGGAACAAGGAAACATTATTTTTTTATGTCCTCTCTATTTTAAGGGAGACCTGGTGAAGACGGTCCCGTTACAGAAGATAAAAACGACAAAAGTCAAAAATAAAGCGGGTCAGATTCTGCATTAAAAAGTCCAGCACTGATTTTATCAGAACTTCAAGACTCAGTTTGTTCTGAAGATTATTTCAGGTAAAATCAGATTAATGTTCAACCAAGTTCAGAAAACCTGACACTTTTAGGAGCTAAACTCAGAACAGGACCGAACTTTACAAGTTTACCCAAAATTACTTTGTACATAAAAATATTCCAATGCCAGAACTGCTGGGTGCGGTCATCAAGCAGCATCAGTAAGGTCACCGGAGCGAAGAACACTTGAGACGTGGCCTGAACAGCTTCAGTTTGACTGACGAGCTAAAGCAGGCGCTGAAATAAGAAGCAAAGCCCAGTTCAGCTAAAACTACTCGACCATCCAGCTTAATATTTGTAGGACGGAATGCTTTCGATAAAGTTTCCCCCTGGGGTGGAACAACCAACGTTATCTGGAAAATCCACATCTGAAAGTTTTAAAGCACCAACTCGAAGCCTCAGTTTCCTGCAGCTCGAAGCGCCGACTCAAAACAAAACCAGAGTAGATGATGGTGTCGTCTGCATCAAACTTCACTTCAGGCTGGAAACAGGACGATCAATCGGACGAGATCGGACACTTAACAAAAATCAATAATCAGCCCTGCCTGTGCAAACCAACAGCAGCAGCTGCTACAGCGAGCCGACTCCAGCCCAGTTTATACTGAAGCTCGGACCTGAGAGAAAAGCTCTTCTGTTTGTGAAATATCACTTTATTTAAGGGTAGCACGGTGCAGCAGCGGTTAGAGCCGTCGCCTCACAGCAGGAAGGTCGTTCGTTCTCTCCATGGGTTTTCTCCAGGTACTCCGGTTTCCTCATGCATGTTAGACTGACTGGTGTCCATGATCCCAGGTGTGAATGGTGGTTTGTCTCTGTCCCTGAGATGGATTGAGACCGGTCCAGGTGTCCTGGGATGGATTGAGACTGGTCCAGGTGTCCTGAGACAGACTGAGACTAGTCCAGGTGTCCCTGACATGGACTGAGGCCGGTCCAGGTGTCCCTGAGATGGACTGAGACTGGTCCAGGTGTCCCTGAGATGGACTGAGACTGGTCCAGGTGTCCCTGACATGGACTGAGGCCGGTCCAGGTGTCCCTGAGATGGACTGAGACTGGTCCAGGTGTCCCTGACATGGACTGAGACTGGTCCAGGTGTCCCTGAGATGGACTGAGACTGGTCCAGGTGTCCCCTCCCTCTCAGAGTGACTGCTGGACCCTGGACTCCCCTGCGACCCCTAAAGGAGACGCAGGTCACGATCGAGTCTTTCTCTAAATTCTTTCAGGGCCTAATTTCTCTTTTTGGGAGTCTCAGAATTTGAGGACCTTAAATCTGAGCTGCCGTCCCTCAGGAGGACTGAACCTCTAGTTTGAGTTTTCCTTCAGTCGTTAAAGTGCACGAGCAGAAAGACCCGCTTAACTCGGGTCCAGTTCAACGGTCTCAGAGCTGAAAGAGAAACAGGAAGTGAAATGACTCGGACAGGAAGCAGAGCTCTGTGTGGGTCAGATGAACGTTTGGATCAGCCTGATGCTGAGGTTCTGTCCGTCTGTCCAGCAGAGGGGGGGCTGCAGTAACCGGGCCCAGAGGAGACCGTCCAGCACCGACAGACAAGTGGACCAAAACCGGAACACAGACAGAGACACTGACGGACTCAACCGGACCAAAGGTGAGCATCTGAACACCACATCCCAGCATGCTCTGCAGCAGGAGGCCCCGCCCCTTCCTAACACCTGTCTGTGTGCATGTCTTTCAGCACCTGAGATGTCCAGCTGCGTTCGGTCCGGAGACTGCGCCGCCGGGCTCTGCTGCGCCCGGTACCTTACCGGGAAGCGGTGCCAGCGGATCCCGGTGGAGGGCGATGCCTGCCTGCTGCGGAGGCCCTCCAAGCTCCGGAGGAACCTGGGCCGCTGCGACTGCGACACGGGCCTGTCCTGCGAGGCCGCGGGCCGGGCAGAACCAGGGAGGAACAAGAGCCAGGGGGTGTGCGTGGCCCGGCCTCGGCAGACCCAAAGGAAGACCCGACACTCCGGGAACAAGAGGAGGACGGTGGAGCGGAGCTGCTGAGGGACTCCAGGAACTTGATTCATGAAGAGGACCGGGCAGGTCCAGGAGGGTCCGAACTGAGGCCCGCGGGCCCCCACTTTCTTCTGATCCAGAAAAAAATAAAACTAGTGGGCGTGTCCAGACTGTTTGATTGACAGCTCATCTTCCTCAAGGAGGAAAAAAAGAAGAAGCAGAACGCTTGAAGTTTGATTTGAATTAAACTTTAAGGACTTTTAATTTGTAAATATTTCCTTTAAGTGCTGATTCTCCTCTTCATCAAAGTCTTCTTCAGAGCACGAGGTTGGTTCAGTCCAGACGTCTGAACTTCACATCCAGACCTTTTTAGGCTTCATTTCCCACCAGAACCTCCAAAAAACAAGATTTATATAAATAAAACTATATTGTTACGTTTACAGGTTAAAGTCTAAAACATTACGAAGGAAAATAATCAGTTAATATGAACAGTTTGGTTTTTATTTGATATTTGTATGTAAATATTAAATGTGTCCACTTTGAATAAATCAGTTTGATTCTTATTTAGAGTCCACTTAAATGTACATTTTTATTTAAAGTAGTGTTTTATAGTGATGTTCCCTCTAACACCGAAGCTTCAAACTCGACAGGGAAGTTATGGTGAAGCAGTGGGCCGGAGCGCGCTTCATGTGACGTCACCGATGACGTGTGAACCACTTCACTGCTTCATTCAGACCGAGTCAGCTGACTGCTTCGAGTTGACAGGTGGAGTTTCAGTCATTTGGTGTGATTCAGTGTATTTAAGATGCTCAAGCCCCGGTTCACATCCCGTTCTACACATACACGTTACGAACAGCTCTTGTTTTATATTCAGTGGATCATTTGAGCCGGATCCTGTCAGAACAAGATCCTGGAACTCTTTCATTTTGACCGCTCAGATCCGCCAACTCCGCCCCTAAAAGTCCAAAGTCACTGCGCATTTTTATTTTGATTATTTATTAAAAGTACGAGTGGATGTTCTGTCCGCGCCACGCACCTCCAGCAGAGACACGGACTGCGTGTCCCGCGGGGAGCGTCTTCATCCTCCTCCAGCTGTGCGGGCAGCGTCTTCATCCTCCTCAAGCTGTGCGGGGAGAGTCTTCGTCCTCCTCCAGCTGTGCGGGGAGCGTCTTCATCCTCCTCC